AACTAATATGTACCCCCGAAATAGTGGTGACCTCACTGAATAGTCAGTAAGAGCTGCTGCAACAATTTCTTCCAATAAATAAGTAGTCAATGAAGAGTCCTACCTACCTACTTACCTACCGACCTACCTATCTATCCTCCCGAACACAATTTTCCTGTGTCTTCTTGACTATAGGACAAAACCACTTAGAAAACAAGTTGCCCTAAACATGTAGGATAGATTTTTGAGAGCACTTTCTTTTTACACATTTATTGATTTTTGGTGGACAAGGCCTCTTAACTAATATCCAGAAGTAGGATTATCATCCACGGTACCATTCATTCATTCATTCACTCAACCAATATTTATTGAACATTATACTAGGCAAAGGCAAAGAATTTTTACCATTTCCCAACATGTATCATAATTGAGTGGTCACACTCAAACTACAGTCAAATAGTCACCTCTTTCCCATTCAGCATTAACAGAAAATATTCTAATATTTATTGAGTATTTATTTTGTGCCAGGCAGCATTTTACATACATTATCTCATTGAATGTTCACAACAACTTTATTGAAATGCATTATTTTTTTTTCTCATTATACAGAGGAAGAAACTAAGGCTTAGAAATATCATCCTAAAATAATGGTCTATAACACTAAAGATGTTCTCCTTTTAATTGTGCGGTATTTCCCCTAAAGAGCTAAGTGTTTATGGGGACATCCAAGGATCTACCAAGAAAACTCATAAGGTAAGTCGAGCAGGGAAGAATGACTTAATTACATTTGTACCTAAAAGAGGATGGGGGCGGGGGGTGGAGTGGAGAGTGTTGCTCCCTTTTCCTATATTGTTTGAATGACTTGCGAATACACTGGGCATTCCAAAACCTTGTTCCTCCATCCTAGTCCCTACTGTCCACACCTGATGGGAGAAAATGTATTAGATCTTTTTCATTTTGGTGACTGGAAAGGCACTTGCATCTCTCAAGGATCTTCTGAACATTGGCAGCGGGGCGACCATGGCTTTTTAGATAATCCACGCAGCCTTCACTTGTACTCAGCCCTCTGCCCACCACAGGCCTCTCCTTCTACCACATCAGTGGACGACACGTACCAACAGATATGCTGAAGCAATGATCAGGAGAAACCGATTCCAGCCCTCAATGTGAGTTGGTTTCTAATTCCTACCCTCATACAGGGAGGCCAGAAAAACAGATGACTCCAGAACCATTTCTTAAAACCTCCAAGAAGTCTGAACTTTTTCTAAAAGCCTTCTCCAGAATGCCTGCCAACACCTCTCCCTGCTTAACAAGATTTTATAGAAGAATGTGTAATAATAGAGTAAAGTGTTGTCCCTACATTAAGGGCAAAAAAATATATCCCTAACTAATATGCCTGTATTATGCTAGTGTTATTGAAGAAAATGTGTAGGTGTGAATGAACAGATATACACCTATGCATGTACCTAAACAGACACACACACACACGCGCGCGCACACACACACACACACACACACACACACACACACACACACACACAGAAAAAAGACTGTAAGGTACACTCCAGAAAATGAACAGTGTCTGTTTCTAGGTAGTGCTCTTAAGTTTTTTTTATTCTTTTAGTTTATCTGAATTTTCTAAATTTTCTATCATATGCCTATATGGCTTTTTTAAGAGCAAAAAGATGACAGTAAAAGTTAATTCTTAAGAGAACTGATGATCAGTCAATTTTTAAGAGAATTAATGATCAAACATGAAACATGGTGACTTTGATAGTTTAGCAAAACTAACCAGCTATTTTTCAACAAAGACGATGAACCTGTCCCAGAAAGCCTCCTAAATTTCATGCCTCTGATGAAGATGCTCTTTCACCTTTCAATTGAGGTACCCACCCCAGGCAGACTGTGTGGTAAGGAAATAAGATAAGAACTCGGCACAGCACCCTCATACATGAGCTAAGAGACAGTATTGCTGGCCTGTGTGGACTAAATGACTGATTTATATGCTCTTTAGAAAGCTTTATATGGTATTATTGGTTAAATGCAATGTTTATTCTCATTAAAAAAAATAAAAGCACCAGGCTCACAGTCAGAGATCTAACTTGGTGTTACAATTTTGTTTCTGTGGAAAAATCTATTTGACTTAAGTAGTCCTGATTCTAGGTATTCTCTTCCAGGCTGGGACTTATAGGCGTTCGGCAGTGAGTCCAATCTGGAAGGTGATGGTATGAGTGTTATCATCGTCTCTGTACTTTTTCTGCACATTTGAAATGTTTCCTGATTTTAAAAAGGAAATTTAAAAACCCAAAGTATTAAGCCTGCTTTGTTACTTAGACATAGAAGTAGAGCTCGCCAAGTCTATAACAGTATCCTTTAATTTTTTGTGTCCTTTAGTGTTTGTTCAACCACTCATTGACCCAAGCCAAGGTGGCTGAGCCACTGTGAGACCACAGTGAAGATGGGCTTGGTCCCTGCCCTCAAGGAGGCTACAGGGCAGTCAGGCACTAGGAAACTTCAATACAGGGCAGCAAGCTGGAAGCACCCACAAAGCTCCAGGTGACAGGAGAGTGGAGTCATCTGGAAAAGCTGCATCCAAGAGTGGTTGTGTCAGCTGTGCCTGGAAGGATAAAGTTTCACCCAGGGGAATGGAGAAGCCGGGGCTCAATGTCAGGACCAGCAAGGATGAAGACAGGAGGGAAGGCCACGTACAGCAGGGGAAGCTTGGTTAAGCGTGAGATGTATCATCATCCCAACCTCCACCTCTCCTTGGAAATCTCATCCATTTCCATGACTCCTTTTTACAGATGATGCTGCAATCTACCCTTTTCAGCTCAGTTTTCTCACACTCACCCCATAGCCCTGAGGACATCTCTGCAGGCTGTCTCATAGGTATGTCAAGCCTCCAGTGCCTCACTCCCAAAAGGTTCCATCTCCCGTGGTCACCGACTCAAGACAGAAACCTGAGTACTAACCTTCTGCCTTCGTCTTCTTTCCTCGCCCGTCAGACGAAACTTTTAAGTTTTGCTTTAATATCTATCAAACCCACCCACAAATCTCTTTCTCACTGGTCCACTCCATCCCAGACCAGGCCATCTCTCACCTGGTAAGTTCAAACTCCCTAAAGGAGTGTGCCTGGGCTTTCTATGACTGGGCCCCACCAACCCTTCCAGAACCATCTCTTGCCAACGGTAGTCTAGTTCCTCTGCCTGTAACGTTCCTCCAGTTCCCCACATCGTTGTCTGGCTGACTGCCTCTCCTTTTCACACTCGGCTGAGATGTCACTCACACTTTTCTAAAAAGACACCCCTGTGAATGGGGACATCTATCTACAGGCGCTGTTCAAATGCTGACCCCTCCTCACAGTGGTTATATACAAATGTCGCCTGATTCCAGCTGTTTCTAGCCAGTTTCTCTAGTGATTCTTCCTAGAGTAACCCTGGGCATCCCTTTGTAAATCATTCTTCCTGCCTCACTTCTTCAAACAAAATGGAAAACTTCAAGGTCACTTTAAGAAACTGGGAATCCTAGTTAGATATCTCTCATCAGAGCTTCCCAACAGAAAAGAAAGAAAACGTCAATGCAAGAGATAGACTTACTTTCTTATATCTTAAAAGCATCCTCATATTGACAAAGACAAGCAAACTGTCTCCTCAACCAGTCCACACTTAGTAGACACATGGTGGAATTACTGGCCTTTAATCAGGGCAGGGTGGGGCAGTAGGACCAAGAACTCCTAAGGAAGTGTGAACTCATGGGAAATGACACCGGGAGGAACAGACTGACCTGGGCTAAATTCCAGTTCCATCCTTGTCCTGCTCTGTGACTTTAGGCATTTCCTCCTTCAGTAAATAAACATATGAACACCTACTTGTGGGGTAACTGTGAGGACTGAATCGTGCCAGGGTCCGGGGCCATCTGAGTGCTCAATAAATGCACCCCCTTGAAGAGAAAGATAGTGTCTTGGTCATGTGACTCGTGGTGGGAGCAGGAGGGAAAGGAAAGGTGCTCAGTAAATGTTTGTGGAATAAATGGACAGCACATTCTGGCCAGGGTGACAGTCCTCCCCACCTGTCAGTGAGGGTCACCGCCCCACCGGGGCCACGGCACACATAGGCAGGAATCCCATCGGAACAGGCTGAGCTGTCCTGGCTGAGATTTCTAAGTTACTAGGATGTGTCCACCCTCTTAAAATGGCAGTCTATTATTTTATAGCAATCGGAAGAATTACACTGTTTAAAGAATGTTTAAAATATTTATAACCAAAGATAAGGAAGCCAATAATAGCTGGCAATTCTTGAGCATTTAACTGTGTATGTGCCAGATGTTGCCCCATTTACTGAACATTAGTCCCTACGACAGTCCTAGGAGATTAATACTGTTATCATGCCCATCTTTCAGGCAAGGATAGTGACATACAGAGAGGCAGGACCACTTGCCTCTGTCACATAGCTCCTAAATGGTAGAGGTGGGATTCAAACGCAGAATGTTTGACACCAAAATCCTCACTCTTAATACCAAATTATCTAGCATTTTCTGGCATGTCTATCATTTCATCCTCCTTTCAGGAAAGGTTTAGAGAGTCTGGTCACCCAGGACTGCTGGGCACCCACTGGCCAAATGAACAAATGTAACCACATTCCTGGATCTTTTTGTTGGGATGGGGTGGCGCACAGATAAGCAGAAAGCTCCAAGAGGCACTCTT